TCTTCCTCTCTCTCTCTCTCTCTCTCTCTCTCTCTCTCTCTTGTTTTGTTTTTGACTTTGCTCATGTTAGGCAAGTGCTCTACAGCTAAGCTATATACTCCAAGGCCTCTTCTCTTTTAGTTTTTTTGGGGGGGTCTTTTTGAGACAGGGTCTCCCTGTGGTGGGGCTGACCTAGAACTTACTATGTATACCAGGCTGGCCTTGAACTCATGGAGATTCACCTGCCTCTGCCTCCTGAGTGCTGGGATTATAGGCATGTGCCACCATGCCCGGCTCTTTTAGTTTTTAAGTTAACTTTTCTTTCTTCTCTCTCCTCTTTTTTTTTTTCTCTTTCTTGTTTTTATTGTTGTTTTGGGGTTTTGCATGACTGAGTTTGGAGCCCACAGTTTTGCACGTTAGTTAAGTTCTCTGCCACTGAGCCACACCCCCCGCTCCCTTAGTCTTAACCTTCTCGATATGTTTTTGGAGCTCCTTGGCCTGCCACTTCCCAGCAGCACTTTTTGTGATGCTTAGATATTTATGGACCCGTCTTCATAGTGCCAAACACAGAGGGGACAGAGCACATGCCAGCCCTGCTGTCAGGGAACCCCATCATTTGGGCCAAGGGTGATCAACATACACCTAGAAATGGGATGAGGAGCAGTAAGCGACAAAGAGGAAGGAAGTATCCAGATCTGGAGCCCCCACCCTTGTAAAGGCTTGGAGATGACTGATGGCACATACCGATTGAGACAGCAGTGGGATGATGTGTGACACTCTTGAGTGCAAAGGGTTATCCCTTAGTAATCCCCTTCTCAAAGCCTAAAAGGTAGCAATATCTTATCATAGGCCACCCAACTAGTCAGGGTGGGGTTGGAGTCTTAACTTTGTGGGAATTCAAGGGACTCTTAAGTTCTAAGGGACTGGGCATTTCTTCTCCATGTGGCAGATGACCCAGGTTTGGAGATAGGAGGAAGGTAGGTAGGTGTGTGTCTTTCCTGTCTCCCATCAATTCATACAACCTAGGAAGGAGGAAGTGGCCACTAAGGGGGGCCAAGCCCACCCTTCATGGTTTCCCTGAGCAAATGGGAGCACAAGTGGGGGTGGCTACACTGAAATAGGATCATGGCTAGGAGGTTGGAGGAAGGCCTGGCCTGTCTTCTCAGCCTGCTTGACCCCGCCCCCCATCCTTTGCAGACCAGGCTCTTGCCCTGAGAGTCTTGTGATATCTATAAATAGGAACAGCCTGTGGGGCTGCTATTCCATCCTGAAGCCTGGGCCCTCCCTCATTTCTGTGCAGCCCTCAGAACCCCCCAAGGACTCCTAGGAGTGGCCACCTCCAAACTCCTCTGCCTGGATGAGGATATACCCACTACTCACTGTCTTCCTATTGGTGGGACCCTGCCTCCAGTCCCATTGCAGCCCTAGCACATACACCTCTGAGGTAGGCCTCCCAGGTACAGCAAAGTCTTGGGGGCTTAGATGTTCCACACAGATCAATGAAGAGTCTGGTGCATGCCTTTCATTGTTTGGGGGACAGAGGAGCCTAGGACAAAGGATGCATCATTTCTGGATACATGGAGCTCAAGACTGGGGAGGAAATTAGAGTATGAAGCGAGCAAGCCTGAAGCTCAAAGTCCAGCCTCCATCTTCCACCCTGGGACATCGCCAAGCTAGCCCTGACACCCCAGGACACCCACTCCTTCTCCTCTGTTGTTGTATTTCTGGATAGAACTTTTTCTGTGATCTTATTGGCTTCCATCACTGGCCCATAGGGCCTGGGTCCATGGCTGCTCCCATTGTACTGAAGAGAAAACCGAGCTTGAAGCCTGGAAAGAAACCTTCAAGTCACACTGCTCGACTTTGACCTTGGAGCTGTCTGGTGTCAGCATGTGGATTCTTGGCCACTCTACTAAGCTGCAAACTGCCTGGCTTGGGGTTTAAGTGGCTCATGGATACCCTTTTCTATCGTTTGTAAGCTGTCTCAGGGGGACATGGCAGGAACCACTGAGGGCCTCTGGCATGGCCACTGCCTAAGGATTTCATCCCAGGCACCACATGACCCACAGACTTCTGGATCCCCTCTGGTGTGGAGGCTTCTGAGTAAAACCCCAATCTCCAAGGTGTCTGAGACACAGGCTTTGCTTGGCCTCCTTCCTCCAAAGTTGCTGCCACTAAATATAGGAGCCTCATTGGAGTTGATCAGATAAAGAGGCCAGTGTGGCCCCCAGGCTCATGAAATTCTTAGACATCCAGGCATTGTGCAGTCATCAAATCTGGGACACTGAGAATCTCAGAAGCAGGACGCCTGGGACCCTCAGACCCATATCTCTAGGCTGTGCCAGGGCTGGTTATCTATAAAGTACTCACCCTCTCCTAAAAAGCTCACATCTGTGAATCAGGTATCCAGGAAAGACCCTATTTCTCAAGTTACGTTTTTCCCAGCTCTTGCAATCATCTCTAGCACTCCAGCCCACTCATCTAAGCATAGCCCTGCTCCCTGTACCTCTACCTCAGTGGTTCTCAAATGGGGATGATCAGGTTCCCCAGGGGATACTTTGGGAATGTGTGGAAACATTTTTGGTTTACAGAATATGGAGGTACTGGCATCTTGTGGATGAGTGGAGGCCAAGAATGCTGTTGAGCATAGGATCACCTCAGCCCAGAGAAAAATCCTGCCCATGTCAAGATTAAAATCACTCTGCTTAGCTGGGTGTGGTGGCCCATGCCTTTAATTCCAGCTCTTGGGAGGCAGAGACAAGCAGATCTCTGTGAGTTCAAGGCCGGCCTGGTCTACATAGTGAGTTCCAGGCCGGCTGGGGCTACAGGGAGACCCTGTCTCAAAAGGACCAAAAAATAAAATCACTCTGCTCTAGAATATGCAAATTTCTGTACCTGTACCCCAACTTTCAGAGGCAATGCCATTGTTACAGCCCCTTTCTCAGGCTCACTAGATTGATCACACCTTCCTGACCACCATCTTCTATTTTCATTCCTTGATCTTTTCAATTCCCAGTGCAAATTGGACAGTGGAGGATTGGAAGAGTCTTTGCTAGTCCTCACACTTTCTGGACCGTCCTCAAATTGAGGCTGATCCAGCAATTGCATCTGTCGGGCCCTGGCCAGGCCACAAGTTCCCCTAGTGTATTAACCTTGGCCCAGGCAATTGGCATTCTCTCTGCTTGGCATGCTTGCCTATGTCAGACAAGCGTGGTGGGTAGAGAGGCGCAGGCCAGGATTCCTGTGGTTGTTCCAGGTGTTGGCTCTACAGGCTGATAATGGAGAGTTGGCTCTGTGTTGTTGGGGGTGGTGGGAATTCCCAAAAAGGAATTCCATTCTAGGATTTAGATCTGGAAAGGGGTCCAGAAGACAGGCACGGGTCCCGCATGGCTCAGGATGACCAGGCTCCCCACTCATCTGGTATCTGTTTGTTAAGCACTTGCATGCCAGGCACTGGAATGTTGCCATGGATAAGGCTGCAATGTCCTAACTCTCACAAGCAGCCATCCACAAAAGGAAACTGGCAGTTTCTGGGAGAGCTAAGAAAGAAATGAAACAGGTGCCAGGCATTGTGGCACAGGCCTGTAATCCAGCACTCAGGAGGCAGAGGCAGGAGGATCAAGAGTATAAGGTCTGCTTGCACTACAAATGAGTTCCAGGCTAAATGGGGCTAGATTGCAAGATTCTGTCTCAAAAAACAAAACCAGGTGCTCATGTCTGTCATCCCAACACTCAGGAGGCAGATGCAGGAGGATTGTGAGTTTTGAGGCCAGCCTGAGCTACGGGAGATCCTGTCCTCATAAAAATATCAAACCAACCAAATAGAAACCTAAATAAATAAATCAAGTAAAAACGGAGTCAGACAGCCATAGGGGCTCATTTGAGTAGGTGGTCAGAGAAGGGTGCACTCTGGTAGAGCAGATACCAAGTGCAAAGGTCCTGAGGCAAGAGAGCATTAGGCAAGTTTTGCAGAAGAGCCATGCAACCAGTAGGCAGGGAGGGGCCAAGAGAGGCAAGTGAGGTGGAGAGACTAGTAAAGCCCCCATCTCATGGTGTGCCATTGCCATGACAGGTGGGAAACTAGCTTTTTTTCTGTAGCTAGAATAAGAAGCCACATGCCACATGAGTTTTTCCCAGGGTGTGACTTTAAAGAAACTACCCTGGCTGCTGGAAGTGGGGGAGGCTGGAAGGCAGCAAGCTCCAGAGGTCCCCCAGGAAACCTAAGGGGACTCCTTCAGAGAACCCTCTTTCAGGGCACAGGAATACAGAGGCCAAAAGCCTCTGAGGAAGAGGGTAGGGAGCCCACAGGGCTCTTCCAAGGTGCCCCACAAGACTCCTGGAACTGGGGTGTGGAGGGCCCCGGCCAGGGGGACCCCAGCCCCTCAGGGTCTCCCCTCTCTGTTGCAGATGGGCAACCCCATCCTGGCCTCAGCGAAGCCCTCCCCCGTGCCACCTCCGCCACCCATCGGATCAGCAGCTGGTGAGTGCCATGCTGGCCCTGACCTCAGGGAGGGCAGGGGGGTGAGCAGGAGTGTCCAGGACCCATAGAAGCCCCTGGGGAATAAGGAGGGGACAGGAGGGAATCAGGAGGCCAGGCAGGAGGAGGTAGCTCCCAGTAGGTAAGCCCCTGGGTATGTGCTGGGGCTGGAGGTGGGGTCTGGGAGCAACACAGAAGGTCAACTCTCATTATCCCTGCCAGGAGCCAGGCCATAAGGGGAGGAGCCTGCAAGTTGGACCTTTTGTGTCCAGGCGGTCAAGTGACCCTTAGAGTGATACTAGGATTCTCTGAGCCTCAGTTTCCTCATCTGGAAAATGTAAACTTGTCCGCCACAAGATGAGTATCACAAATTTGCCTTGGAATCCCAAGAAGCATTGGGGAATCAACAAGTATCAACCTCAGTGTTAATGGCCACTACTCTTATTTTTTTTCTCTTATTTCTTTTCTTTCCTTTTCTGTTCTTGAGACAGGGTCCCACTATGTAGCTCTGGATGGCCTGGAACTGGCTATATAATATTGATCAGACTGGCCTTCAACTTACAGAGATCTGCCTGTCTCCCGAGTGCTGGGAATGTAGGCGTTTACCATCACACTCAGCTTCTGATTCTTTTTTTGTTTATATGTTTTGTGGTACTAGTGATGAAACTCGGGCCTTACAAACTGTGTAAGTGCTCTACCACTGAGTTACATACCCCTAGCCCTGCTACTCTTATTAAACAGCTAATATATGGTGAGTGCTAATATATAGTTGTGATAGTCTCAGGATTATTAATAAGTCTAGAAGTGAATAACAACTGTTATGTTCTGAGCTCTCGGCATATGTTCAGCCCACTGATTGCACATCCCTCAGAGGATGGGCCTGTAAATCTTGCATAGAACCAACGGAGCTTAGAGAGGTGACACTATGGCCCCTGCCTGCCTCTCTGTGCTACCCATTTCCTCGCCTGTTCCATGGGGGTGATCAATCCCCCTACCCCTTTTGAAGGCATGCTCTTAAAATGAAAGAGGGCAGGCATAGCAGTACAAGTCTGTAATTCCAGCACTTACCTGGTAGATGCAGGAGGATCAGGAGTCCAAGGTCCTACATAGTGAGTTCAAGGCTAGTAAGAAAGAGAGAGAGGGAGGGAAGGAGGGAGGGAGGGAGAGAGAGAAAGAGAGAGAGAAAATAGAGAGAAAGAAAAAGAAAGAAAGAAAGAGAAAGAAAGAAAGAAGGAAAGAAAAGAAAGAAAGAAAATAAAAATGAAGGGAGATGCTGGCCACAATAGCACACACCTATAATCCCAGGATCTGGGAGGTTGAGGCAGGAGGATCTTCAACACCAGCCTCGACTACATAATGGGACTCTGTCTCAAATAAAAATAAATAGCCATTTCTGGTGGTGAAGGCCTATAATCTCCAGCTACTCAGAGGTTGAAGGAGAAGGATCTGAGTTCAAGGACTGCCTGGGCTACAGAGTGAGTTCAAGGCTAGCCTGAATAGTTTATCAAGACCCTGTCTCAAAAGGGGAAGGGGGCTAGGGATATAGCTCAGTGGTAGAGTATAAGGCCCTAGGTTCAATTCCTAACATTTGGTGGGGGGGTGGGAAATGAAGAGAAAACTGATCAGGAATGCTCTTATTAAGAAGTCCCATCATACCAAGCATGATGACACATGCTTTTAATAATCCTAGCACTTGGGAGAAAGACGCAGGTGGATCTCTATGAGGTTGTGGCCAGCCTGGTCTACATAGCAAGTTCTAGGCCATCTGAGGCTACATGGAAGCCCTGTCTCAAAAAACAAACAAACAAAAAAATACCACGGGTTTACCAGGCATCAGGTGAAATAAAATGTTTCCCGATTTCCTGAGCACTGAGTTTTGCCTCTCTTTACCCTATGTTCTGTGGAGTTACAGCCCCTACTTAATAAGTACTTACCATGTGTGGTGGTTTTCACTGGTGACAGCTGTCAGAAAGCTCCTGAGACATTGTATCAGGAAGACAAACTGCAAGCTGCCATTTTTCGGACTGGAAAACTGAGACCCAGAGAACTTGCCTCATCTGCCCTGACACATCAGCTCCATTCATCTCTCACCCATGAAGGTCAGGGTCACTGGAGTCATCAGTCACTTTTGACTCTGTTCCTCCAAGAGGGGAGGAGTTCTATCCTTTGAGCTGTTCTGCCACAAAGTTGACATCACGAAATTTGGGGTAGAGTTGTAACTAAGTTAACTAAATTGCCACAGTTTGGGGAAGACCAAGACAGAAGCATCCTGGAGCCCAGGTCAGAGCCTTGGATCCTCCCTGGGGAAAGGTGAGAGTTGACTACACCACCAGACTTGGGGATGCTCCTGTGAGGCTCCACCTGCAACCTGCAGTCTCTGCACTTTTCCCCCATGATACAACAGGTTGGGCTATATGGACAGGTGCACCCTGAGAGTTGAACCTGGCTTTTGACCCATCACTTCTGGAAAGGTCCACTTGAACTTCCCCACCTTCACTCCCATATTCCCAGCCTTTCCACAGTCACTTTACATTGGATCTCCAGGCACTGCTCCAGCCAGCCTGGGAGGACTCCCTACCACTACTACCCTAGGGAGGGAAACCAAGGCTCACAGCTAACTTGTCCCCATTGGCACTTCCTTGCAGCTACTGGGATGGAGACAGCCTGGACTTTCGGCCGGGCTCCCCATCACCCCATCTCCTGGGCCCTTTCCCTGGGTCCCCTCATATCCAGGGGCCCTGGGAGCATCCTATGGCCCAGGAAGCTGGGGAGGGCATCCTGTCTGAGCAGAGATTTGAGAACTCAGTTATTGTGAGAACTGTGAAACCCCATATCAAGGTCAAGGGTTCTAGAAGGTTCACCCACCAGGGTGAACTGAAGTTCTTGGAGAAATATCCTCCAAGCCCCCGGAAGTTTGACTGGCTTGGAGATACAGATGAGCAGGGGCTCCTGAGAGATGCAGGGCTGCACCTGAACCTATCTCCCCAGCCTCCAACCATCACTTCCTTCAGGAGGGTAATTGTGCCAGTGAACAACAGTCCTAAAACATTGGACATGGAGGTGGTGGGTACCAAAGAGAACATAGAGGACCTTGAGGGGCTTGCCCAGCCTTCCAAGTGGGGCTTACACACATCGGCGTTGGAAGTGGCCACACAGACCTGGACAGTGAACTCTGAGGCATCTGTGGAACGTCTGCAGCCAGTGTTGTCCACAGTCCAGACAGGGCCATACCTGTGTGAACTATTGCAGGAGGTAGCTGATGGAGAGGCCAGCCATGATGAGGAGGAAGAAGAGCCAGCAGTGTTTCCATGCATTGAATGCAGCATCTACTTCAAGCACAAAGAGCACCTTCTAGAACACATGAGCCAACACCGCCGAGCACCAGGCCAGGAGCCTCCAGCTGACCTGGCTCCTCTGGCCTGCAGTGAATGTGGCTGGGCTTTCGCAGAGCCTGTTGCCCTAGAGCAGCACTGGCAGCTGCACCAGGCTTCCCGGGAGAAGATCATCGAGGAGATTCAGAAGCTGAAGCGATTTCCAGGTGATGAGGGCCGCAAGGCACGGCTACAGTGCCCAAAGTGTGTCTTTGGCACCAATTCCTCTAGGGCTTTTGTGCAACATGCCAAACTGCATGTGCGTGAGCCACTGCCCAGCCAACCAGCCAAGGAACATTTTGGGGGTGGCAGCAGGGCTGGCAGCCCAGTCGTCAGTGCTGGCAACCTCAACTATCCGTCCTATGGAGCCTCCTCAAGTCTCAGTCTGTGTATCTACTGTGGCTTCCCAGCGCCTAGTGAGAGTCTGCTCAGGGAGCACATGAGAGTAGTGCATGCCCATCCCCACTGGGAGGAGCATGGTGAGGCCTTTGAGAGAGACCCCACCAGCCAGCCAGGCACCAGCCAGGACACATATACCCGCTTCCCTGACAACACTACTATGGACTACTTTGACAAAGCTGAGCCGCTCTTGGCTGGCACGTGGCAGGAGAACCCTACTGGATATGACCCTGGCCTGGCCTTTGGCCCAGAGTACCAGCAGCTGAGCGTGAGGGATTTCCCACTGCTTAACTCCGGCCAACAGCCTCTCAGAAGGCTGGCCTTTCCCTCCCCAGTGGCCTCAGCTTCCTACTCCATGCAGTTCAGTAGAAACAAAAGCACAGTCCACCTTCAGGGAATGAGGCACCAGAGGCACTCTTGGAGTGAAGGGGAGGAGGAAGAGGAAGATGAAGATGTGGTACTGACCTCTGAAATGGATTTTGCCCCTGAAAATGGGGTCTTTCCACCCCTGGCCATCCCCAATCTCATCCCCCAGCCAGCCCTAGCACTGAAGCAGACTTTCAGAGATGCCTTGTGGACAGCTGAGGCCTCACAGGCTCAGCAGCAGCAGCTCCGAGGAATGGTACCCATTGTTCTGGTGGCAAAGCTCAGGCCACAGGTCATGGCTGCAATGAGCAGGGCATCCTCAAGGCTGCAACCTGAGGAGCTGAGACTGGGAGGAACCCACCCCCTGGACTTCCTGCTCCTAGATACACCTCTGGGTGGCCCACTGGGTCTGGACACAATCCTGGAAGGGGATCCGGCTATGGTTCTAAAGCGTGAGGAGCGGAAATGTCCCTACTGCCCTGATCGTTTCCACAATGGCATTGGGCTGGCCAACCATGTCCGGGGCCACCTGAACCGGGTGGGCGTCAGTTACAACGTTCGGCATTTCATCTCTGCAGAGGAGGTGAAGGCCATTGAACGCAGGTTTTCCTTCCAGAAGAAAAAGAAAAAAGGTAGGGTGGGCTCCCTTGGGAACTTACCTCCCTCCTTCTAGGCCTGGGAGCCACACAGTTGGGCAGCTGAGTTCTAAACTTACCCACCCTCACTCTAAATCCTACCTTAGCATCCTGAAAGGTGAAACTGGGGCCTCCCCTCTTGAGAGACCTAGGAGCCACAGCCAAGGTCACCACCAAAGGTTGGTAGATGTGTGGGGGTGGCCACAATGGCAGCTGGAGGAAGGAGTTTGGGCACAGCGATCAGCTGCAGGCAGAAAATTCCATTTAATTCCTTCATGTAATAAATATTTATTAAAACAGGTCCCCTGTGTTCTGGGTACTGGGAGGCCCAGCAGGACAACAGTTCTACTGTTTTGGAACTCATGGCCCAAGCCCAGTAATGGGACCCTTATTGGGTGTCAGAATATAGAGTCACTTGCACAGCTTATGGATTCCCAGTTGAGGTCTGATTCCAGTTCTGCTGTCCAGTGGAGCATGTTGGGTAGTTCTGATGCTGGCAGTCACACAGACCATATGGAGGTGCATGGGAGCTTGGGAGGTTCAAGTGAATGGATGAGAGTATAGACAGAGAGAGAGAGAGAGAGAGAGAGAGAGAGAGAGAGAGAGAGAGATGCTAGATTGTGGGCTAATGGATGGACAGCCAGAAAACTAGGCAGTTACAATATCAAATGATCAAGGCTTAGAGAACTAGGAAACTAGGGAATATAAGGGAGAAGACCCCAACTCTACCTCGAGGGCTTAGAGAGCCTTCCAGAAGTGGGTATCCCATCCTCTATTTGTCTGTTTCTTCACATAGCCTGTATTTAATTATGGCACTGGGGCAATAGTGAGCAAAAGTAGACATGGTAAGGATATCCATCTAATACTCACTCAGATTGCAAATCCACAGAGAAGCCTTCCCAAGGGAGAGGTCCCTAATAATGACAGATCACATGTGGAAGTGGTGATCTGGGAAGCCAGGCTTTCTGGAGTGTCTGGGTTGGGGAGGGTACATAAACTGAAAGGTGTGGGTTGGCCAGAAGCTGAAGCAAACAAAGGCATTCCAGAGGATATGTAAAGGGTGAGAAGTCCTGGAAACTAGGTGAAGTTGGGACCAGAGAGTGGGTCCCCTCACCTCTGCCCCATCCCAGAAAGTCTATGTCCTCTCTCTGCAGTGGCCAACTTCGACCCAGGCACCTTTAGCCTGATGCGATGTGACTTCTGTGGGGCTGGCTTTGATACTCGGGCTGGCCTCTCCAGCCATGCCCGTGCCCACCTGCGAGACTTTGGCATCACCAACTGGGAGCTCACCATCTCGCCCATCAACATCCTACAGGAGCTGTTGGCCACTTCTGCAGCTGAGTTGCCCCCCAGCCCTCTAGGCCGTGAGCCTGGTGGGCCACCTGGAAGCTTCCTGACTTCTCGCCGGCCACACTTACCTCTCACTGTGCCCTTCCCACCCACCTGGGCTGAAGAACCTGGGCCAATCTACGGAGATGGTAAGGGGAGGGGGTGGGCCAGGCTGGAGCCCCTACCCTTCCTTGGGATTCAGAAGGATGAATGGGTGAGTTGAGGGGTGACCACTCTGCTTTCCCGGCAGTATTTCAAGTCACTTTACAAAATACATTGACTCCGAGTATGTTGGCCCAGGCCTGTAATCCCAGCACTTGGAAGGTCTATGCCAGAGGATTGTGAGTTCAAGGTCATCCTGGACTATATAACCAGTTCCAGGCCAGCCTGAGCTAAGCTGTACAGTCAGGTCCTTTTTTAAAAAAAAAAAAAAAAGTATACTAACAGTTTTTCTTACCATTATATTGCCACACAGAGGTCATTTCTGTTTTATTCAAGGGCTGGGTCATGTACTTTTCTGGATCCAGTTTCTCAATGAATATTTTCTAGGAGCAATGGTACCCTATAGTCATAAAGTCATTGAGATTCTCACAACAACCCTATTAAGGTGGATATTTTATCATTCCCATTTTACAGAGGAGGAAACTGAGGCACAGAGAACTTACCTGCCCAAAGTAACACAACTGGAAGGAGCTGGGCTTTGAGACCCATGTAGTTGGGCTACAGAGTCCTTGTTCTTGGTAAATCTATGTTGAATACTGCTGCCCAGTAGAACTTCGTGAGATTATGGGAAATATTCTTTAGCAACCTGTTGCTGTCCTGGGAGTCACAACTGGCTATATGTGGCTACCAAGCATTTAAAATATGGCTAGTGGGGGTTGGAGGGATGGCTCAGTGGTTAAGAGTACTGACTGTTCTTGCAGAGGACCCAGGTTCCATTCGCAGCACCCACATGGAGACTAACAACCATCCATAACTCCAGTTCCAGGAGACCTGAGGGTATTGCATGACATGGGTGCACTTACATACATGCAGGCAATATACTCATACACATAAAAATAACAAAGTATTTCTTAAAATAATAAAATATGCCCAGTACTGAGCCAGTGGTGATCCTACTGGATGGTACAGATCTAGAATCCTGACTGGGTTTTTAATCAATGCCAGTTCTGTCCATCAGCTCTGACAAACCCCTCCCATACTCAAATGATTGCATGCACTAAAGTTTCAACCTGTACCACCTCAGATATGCCTAAAAACAAGCCCATAGGGCCAAGGCTTATTTTATTTTGCTTTGATGTGCTGAGCATGAGACACTGAGCCTCATGTATGTTATTAGGCTACTGGGCTCTGCCCCTAGCTCTAGGAATACTGTATACCAGTTTTACAGATAAGGAAACCGGATTATCTGCTTTATCCTAGCCACACAGAGGCAGAGTTGTACTTCTGTGCATCTTGTTTGGTGGTGTCTTTCAGAGGATGGCTTTCAAAATCCAGAATCAATATCTGGTGCTAGCCGGGCTTGGTGGCACATGCCTTTAATCCCAATTCTTGGGAGTCAAAGGCAGGCGGATCTCTGCCTGTTCAAGTCCAGTTTGGTCTACATAGTGAGTTCTAGGCCATCTGGAGCTACAAGGAGACCCTGTCTCAAAAAGACCCCCCGGCAAAAAAAATCTGGTGGTAGATTGCAGGGCTGGCAGAATTAGAGAAAAAGTGAAGATCTCAGTCTTCTAAAGTCTGACTGTGTGGGAGCTCAGCTGTGAGGAGTAGTTAGGCTCTGAGGAATGAAATATGTTTGAATGGGGAGAACTGACTCAGGGCCACTTGGGCTAGGGCTTCCTTTTATAGGTCCTCTACCTTCCAGTTTCCTGCTTAGATCTGTATTCTAAGCTTGGCTGGACCTACCCCTTCTGCATGCCAGGCAAAGGCACTTGAGAGTTTTCAAAGGTCAGGGTGGGCTGTCAAAGGTCCACCTCTTCCTTGGACAAAAAAGAAATGGAGGCATAGACAAGTAACTGGCTGAAATTAGACTTCAGGGAAAGGCAGAGGAATGAGACATGGGGCTTCTTGCCTCTGCTAAAATTTGCCCACCAAACATTCAGCTCTTTGACCGGATTTGGTTCTAGTGTCTCGAAATGGCTGGGAGATAGTGCCAGCTCTAAGGATAGCTAGGGCTGAAGGAAATAGTCTATGAGCTTCAGCTCTGACCCTATGCCTCTGTGTCATCTCAACAGAAGTGGAGGTATCAGGATCACATTCCCTATCTGGCATTTGGGCCAGACCTCCCCAGCCCCAAGGATGGGACCAAGTACCTAACTGCCAGGTTCACCTCTGACCAAGCTAGTTCCACCAAAATAACCATGGTTCATTCTCCAGACAGAGCTGGCCAAAATCTTGGGGTGTGAGGAAGTAGGGTCAGCTCTGCCCTGGCTTTGTTTAGAGGAAGAAGAGAGACAGTTATGCCTGGTTCAGTGAACTCCTGGGGAGGGGGACATTAAGGAGTAGCTCGGAAGATCCTAGAAGCTTTGCCTTAAGTAACGGTGTCCAAAATCAGAGCCAGGTTGGGGCAGTAGCCCAGCGTGGCAATTCTTTTAGAAGATTCTTCCCCTTCCCCAAGCCAGAGTAGGAGGGTGCCAGGTGGGGGGAGGCAGTAGTCAGGGTCTGGCCCCACCCCGCTGTCAAGAAACAGCTGGACTGAGCTGGTTGGAGTTCGTCGGAAGGAGCGCGCGGTGCTTGAAACGAAACATAGGTGAGAAGGAAGTTCCTTGACTGCAGGACCCTGGAGGAAAGCCAGATATCCAGGGTGATGGTGGGAACAGGGGAGGATCACGGTGACTGAGTATCAGGTGTCCTTCAAGCTTGTCCTAGTAGGTTTGCTTGGAGTAACGATATCCACGATCAAGGCCACGATCACGTTTGTGCACCTGGCGAGAGAGACTTCTAGAAAAGAGCACGGGGCAGGGTCCTAGCTCCGCCCGTGGAGTTCTAATTCAGAATGTTGATATTGAGGTGGATATGTGTGGCAGGTGGATTCCCCTTCTAGCCGTAGGGATGTGCGGATCCCGAGTTGAGGCGGCAGCTGGAGGCTGCTGGACTCGTGGCAGGCCTGCAAGGGTGGGCCCCCAAGCTTCCAGCAGCTTGCGGCCATAGTTCTGCGGGGCTGAGAACTGAGAGCATTCCGTTCCCGGCGCTCGGCGCTCGGCAGGCCGCCCTGGGTGCGCCCGAAGGGGCGGGGCGGAGCGCGCTCTGCGGCAGCAGCGTACGGCGCTCCGCTGCTCTCGCCTGGGGCGGCCGCCCCGCGTGCGCCGGAGCCAAGATGGCCGCCTCCACCGCCCAGTGCCGAGTGACAAAAGCGGAGAGCAAGGCGGCGGCAGGGCTGCGCGCGGGGGGCTCCCGGGAGCGCGCGCCCACGGGGGCGCCTCCGCCTGGCCCCCCAAGTCCAGGCCCGGTGACCCTCCCTGTGCCGCCGCTGCCCCTGCCCCCACCCCCGCCGCCTCCGTCGCGGGACGGGCCCAAGGCCGAGCGGGAGCCGGGGCCCAGGCCCTCGCCCGCGCCGGGTAAGAGTTGGCCGAGGGAGGGTCCCGGGAGGGGAAGGTCGGCTTCCGGCCCGCGCACGCCACCCCTCGCAGCACCCGCCGTCGTGTCTCTGATGCCCCCTCCCCCCAGGTGCTGGGACCCCGGGCCTCCTGCAGCCGCCCCCAGGGTCCCAGGCATCAGAAGCACCGCCGCCCCTCCTCAGGACTCGCCGGCCCTGACAGATGTCCCGCGCATCTTTTGGAGCGCCCCGTTGTCATGGTTCCGGTCCCCTCGGTGTGGAAAGCCACTTTTGACCCTGCCCCATCTGACAGACGCGCCCACTTCCACCCGGAGACTTTGACAAAGTACTCGGTGTCGCGATCACCGTGGCCTCCCGGCCTGTCTTCCCTCTGTGGGACGCAAACTCAGCAAGAGGGACCTTCCAAGACCTCTGCCCGGTTGCTTCCCTTTGAGCGTCTCCGGCGTCCATCTGACACATTTCCTTCGTTCTCAGAGCCCTTGCTCTGAACTCGACCTTGTTGCTCAACAGGCTTCCCAGGCCCGCTTTTAAAATGAAAAATAAGACTAAGAAAACCGCCCTGGATTCCTTCTCCTACAGGCATCTCACCCTAGGAAGCTTCCTCTTTAGATGGAAGCTTGAGAAACTTCACACAAAGTTCTGTCATTCCCACTCTCTCTTCCTGTCCTGTCTGATCCCTTTGGTGCAGGCTCCAGGTTATTACATTGTCCCATCGTAGGCTTTGCTATAGTGGGCTCCCTATTGTCTCTGAGGCTCCCTTGTTTGGTGAAGATTTCACCCAGTCCTCAGCTCCCTGCCTCTCTGGCCTCTCTGGCTTCCTGACTCCTGCCTCTTTCTTCTGACTGTCCCCACCTTCACCCTCTTAGGAGTTTTGCCCAGAGAGGTATTTTCCCTGTTTCCTTCAGATGGGAGTCTCAGCTCAGACTTGCAGTGTGTTCTCAGACCTGTGTACCTTCTGGTGGATTGAAACTGTTGCTGGTCTCTTCTGTGGTTGGACAGCCTCAGTGTCCCTACATTGAGGTCGCGCTGGGGGTTATGGGTGCAGTCTCAGCCACTCAGGAATGAGTGGCTTCTGGTGGGAGTGAGAGCAGAGGCCAAGGATGAGGAAGAAGCACTGTTCTTTCAGCCCCCTTCTAGCGGGTGGACAGCGTGATGCTTGACTGGGCTGAGCCTGTCTCCTCCACCCCACAGGCCTGGGTTCTGAGGAGAACACAATGGTGGCCATGGACTTGGGGTCTCCCCCACTCCCTAAGAAGAACCTGCCTGTCTCTGGGGCCTTGGAGCAGGTGGCCAGTCGGCTGAGCAGCAAAGTGGCCTCAGAGGTTCCTCATGGCAGCAAACAGGAGCTGTCAGACCTCAAGGGTGAGTGGCCCAAGTGACAAGGCAGGAGTATTAGCCAGGATGGTCATGTTCACAGGGCACTCTCAGGCCTGGGGATTAATGTGGGTCCCCAGGTTGGCACTTCCTTTCTCTCTAGCACTATAAGGCACCAAGGAGACACCCAGCTATCTTCTCCCTGGAGTTTCTGTAACCCCGGCTGTGTGTGGCGCGTATTTACAACCTCACTGAATGAGGGCAGGGCGTCCAGAGAAGCAGTGGGCAAGGTGGTCAAGAACTCGCATTCAAACCTAGGTCACTTGCCAACCCTGACCTTGTCAGTTGTAAGCTTTCTTGTTCTTCGGTAGATTGCGAGGTTGTTGAAAGGGCAGTTGAGAGTAATGACAAGTACCTTGCTAGTTCCCAAGGGATGTTCAGAGGAGCACAGTGAACCTGGCTTCTGCCTTTGTGTCATTGAAGTTGGATAGGGGAGCAAAGAAGCAGATAGGGGGTGGGCAGGGACCATGGCTGGGACTCTGACCAAGCATTTAAAGTATGATTGAGCTGCAGAGAGTAAAGCTAGGACTTACTTCAGTGTGTAATATGTACCTGGTAAGTCAGTGTTTGTGTGTGTGAGCTTATTTCCAGGGCATCCTGGCATGTTGGAGGTCTGAAAAGCATCCCCATTGGCTTGACCACAGAAGGGTGCTGCCTCCTGCTGTGTGTTTTTAGGCACAACTCTTACCTTCTCTGAGCCTCACTTTCCTTACTTGAAAACCAGAAGACCTTGCCAAATTATAATTGTCAGAATCAAAGGGATTTGACAGAAACAGAACACTTATTTTGAACCTGGATAAGGGGAGAATGGGCAAGGTATGCCTGCAAGGCCTCTCAGCCTGCCATCCTGGTCTCCATCTCTCCCTCCAGCACAGAGCCTGACCACCTGTGAGGTCTGTGGTGCCTGCTTTGAGACTCGAAAGGGCCTATCCAGCCATGCACGCTCACACTTGCGACAGTTGGGGGTCGCAGAGTCAGAGAGCAGTGGTGCTCCCATCGACCTCCTCTACGAGCTGGTAAAGCAGAAAGGCCTGTCTGATGCTCCCTTTGGGCTGCCTCCTGGCCTGACCAAGAAGTCCAGCTTGCCGAAGGAATTGGTTGCTGGGGCTGCCCGGCCTGGCCTGCTCACCCTGGCCAAACCCCTGGATGCCCCTACTGTCAACAAAGCCATCAAGTCACCTCCTGGATTCTCTGCCAAGGGCCTGGTCCACACATCCAGCTCTCCACTCCTCAAGAAGGCACCGCTGGCCCTGGCAGGATCCCCCACTCCCAAGAATCCTGAGGACAAGAGCCCTCAGCTGTCCCTGAGTCCCCGGCCGACCTCCCCAAAGACACAGTGGCCCCATTCTGAGGACGAGGGACCCCTGAATCTCAGTGAGTGTGGGTTCTGGAAGCTGAGGGAGGGACCGTGGTGTCACTTGGTCCTCAGATGAGGAGGGCCCAGGGTGGAGACAGTAAGAACTGCAGCTCCCAGGTCCTGGGCCTTCCTGGTCAGTGCTGGTTGAGGCACTCATTATGTCTCCTGTTGTGCTGTCCTGCCTACTTTGCCTCTCCTGCTTTGCCGATCTTCCTGTGGAGTCCCAGCTATAGGTCTCAGCCTGCCAGGGTCCTTTTTGCTACCTCAGAGGAGCTCTTGTACTTCTGTGGCATGACAGTGGGGGCAGTGAAAATAATCAAAGTACTGGTGGACCTAGCTTTCCCAGTGGTAGTTTTCAGCACTTAGATCCTTCAGGTAGATAGGTAGTTGGCCTGACAGGAAGTCCCTGCACTGGCCTCTTCTTCACGTCTCCTGGCCACCCCATGCTGAGGCATCTCTTTTTTTGTGCCCAGTGGTAGAGACCCTTCCCCTGGGCTGCCTCAGGCTTGGCAAGCAGGGTTTGCAAAGAAACCCAAGTGCAGTGAGCAGATTTCTTGAGGTGATCATCAGGCTTTCCCACATGTTGACAGGCATTAGAACCTGGTAGTGACCCCAGAGTGTGGCCCCCTGCTTAGTGGAGTACCTCAGTTGGCACCTTGTATTCCCTGGAAGCCACTTCCACTGAATCTTCTGTGGCTTTATGGGCACGCTGTTGTGGCCAGACCCTTAGCACATGGTGCTTGGGAGTCTGGCAGTGCCCCTACTCTGCACCCACAGTCTTCTCCCATAGTTCCACTAGCAGAAGTCATAGGGGAGAGGATCTTGGAACATTAGGATCTGTCACAGAACTGCATCCTTAAGCTCTCTCTACCTTCACTTAATGCCAAAGGGGTAGGCAGGGAACATGCTGCTCTGCTACCCCAAACCTCTGAAAAATCTGTTGGTGGCATGACATTTGAACCCCGAACTGCCTGGGCAGTTGAGAATCACACCAGACCCTCCTGCCTCCATCCCCCAGGGCCGACCAAGGTGGCGGCCGTGAACCCCCCCTGTGTTTTGTCTCCGCAGCTTTAGATAGTGACGGGGGCAGAGAGCTGGACTGCCAGCTGTGTGGTGCCTGGTTTGAGACCCGAAAGGGCCTGTCCAGCCACGCCCGTGCCCATCTGCGCCACCTGGGCGTCAGCGACCCGGATGCCAAGGGATCCCCCATAGACGTGCTCCACGGGCTCATCAGGAGGGACGGCGTCCAGATCCGCCTCCCACCCGGGCGCGGAGCCCTGGCCCAACTGGGGCAGCCTCCTTCTGCCTCCACAGCCCTCTCTTTGCTCCCCTCCCCACCGCCGGCCAAGAAGGCCAAGCTGAAGGCCGCGGGTATGGCCAGCCCCTGGGGGAAGCAGGACCTCTCAGCCGCCGGCATTTTCTGGGCCTCTGATGTGGAGCCGTCTCCTCTCAACCTCTGTAGGTTCTCGCTTCAGCTGCCCTTCCTCCCTGTGGGCCCTGGAGCCCTTCCCTGGGGGGTCTTGGCCCCCTCCTTACTCCCTTCTTGTTGGTGTAGGGAGTAGATTGGGGCCTTTGGCAGTGGGCCAGCTCAACCCAAAGATTTTGTTGTCAGTGGGCTACTGGGCCCTCTCTCTTGGCCTTGACCTCTATCACTATGACCCTGGCTGAGAATGAAGGCTAAGAGGAGGGTCCTGCCTTTCGGTGTGGAAGGCGCCCACATCTGCCCCAGTCTGTATAGCATGTGGCACCAGGCTGCAGCTTTCTACCTCCTGTCCTGTTTTTGTTGGGACCTACAGAGCTGTGGAGTATTGATTCTACCCTCTGCCAGGACAGAGGTCCCTTTTACTCTCTGGAGCTCCCCCAACCCCGCTCCTGCCCCGTGTCTGGCCTCCTGGCCCCATCCCTCAGCTCCCTGGCTTACACCTGCCTTCCACTACCACCCTGGCCTAGGGGCATGCTGCTGCCCATGTCTACTTGGCCAGGAGCAGGTGACTGTCCTCATGATACCCATGGTTCTAACTGTCCCTTTCTCCTCCCGCTGCAGCCTCAGGCCCAGAGCCAGCACGAGATATCCGCTGCGAGTTCTGCGGTGAGTTCTTTGAGAACCGCAAGGGCCTGTCTAGTCACGCACGTTCCCACCTGCGGCAGATGGGTGTAACTGAGTGGTACGTGAACGGCTCACCTATTGACACACTTCGGGAGATCCTGAAGCGACGGACCCAATCCAGGCCAGGTGGACACCTCCACCCACCAGGGCCTAGCCCAAAAGCCCTGGCCAAAGTGGTAGGCAGCGGAGGTCCTGGCAGCTCACTGGAAGCCCGCAGCCCCTCGGACCTTCACATCTCACCCCTGGCCAAGAAGTTGCCACCTCCACCAGGCAGCCCCCTGGGCCACTCACCAACTGCCTCTCCTCCCACGGCCCGGAAGATGTTTCCAGGCCTGGCCACACCTTCTCTGCCCAAGAAGCTGAAGCCTGAACAAATGCGGGTGGAGATCAAGCGGGAGATGCTGCCAGGGGCCCTTCATGGGGAGCCGCACCCATCTGAGGGTCCCTGGGGTGTGCCTCGAGAAGATATGACACCCTTGAACCTGTGTAAGTGTGATCCTATGGCAGGGCAGGGAGAATGATTGGCTGGGTCTCTTCCCTGTGTTTCCTTAGGGGTATACAAAGAGCCCAGGGCTGAAATGGAAGATACACATGTCCAGAGGACACAGAACTTACTGTTCATTCCTGCTGATTCCTGTACCCAAGCTGCTGCTTGGTTCTCTGTGATTCAGGCAGGAGAGGCATAATTATGTCATTCAGCAAAGGCAAAAAGATTTTATTTTATGTCATCTTCAGCCGATTGGTGGTAGCTGCCAGCCAGATTCCTAAGGAGAACAACTATAGGGATCAATTAGTGATGTCTGCCACTGGCAGGTATAGAGGGATAGCGTTGGATATTTGAGCTGTGTCTGACATTCCTGGTAATTGAGGGCTTGGCATTTGGAGTTGAGTCAAGATCTCTATTCTTCCATAATGTAATAGTAAGTGACTTGGGAAAGGTGGAGATCAGCATAGTCCCATGTCTCATCTCTGGATGTTTTTTGCAAGGATTAAGTGCAATGACGCACTTAGCATGGTGCCTGGTTGCAGAAAGTGCTTTATATGTCATAGTTGTTATCATGTCACTGTCACTTGCTTCCCTGCCACACTGTCACTGTGTTCATTCTGCTTGGGTTGATTCTCTGCCACACAGGTAAGCATGCCAGGCTTCTCCGTAGAGCTCCCTGCCATGTGCTCTGAAGCCTTCTCATTTCAGCTCTCCCAGCAACATTGGGAGATGAGGGTTTTCATCTCTATTTTGCAGAGGAGGAAACTTGAGACTCAGAGAGGGGAAGTGATTTACCCAGCATCACTGAGGGAGACCTCATGAAGCCAGCTAGCATTTGAGGCGACAGAATAAGCAAAAGGACTGGGTGTACACGGCCTCAAGTAGTTCACTAGAGTCTGGAGGGAGCGGGGCATGGATAGGGATATCCAGGAGGCTGGCACTCTCATGGGCCTTGAGCTTGGAGGGTTTTTGCCCACAGCCACCACCTCCTTCAACTCTCCCTACCCTGGATCCCCCGCAGCATCCCGGGCAGAGCCAGTTCGTGACATCCGCTGTGAGTTCTGTGGTGAGTTCTTCGAGAACCGCAAGGGCCTCTCCAGCCACGCACGCTCTCACCTGCGGCAGATGGGTGTGACCGAGTGGTCCGTTAATGGCTCACCCATTGATACACTACGGGAGATCTTGAAGAAGAAGTCCAAGCTGTGCCTCATCAAGAAGGAGCCACCAGCTGGAGACCTGGCTCCTGCCCTGGCTGAGGACGGCTCCCCCACAGCAGCTCCTGGAGCTGTGCATTCCCCACTGCCATTGTCACCCCTGGCTAGTCGGCCAGGCAAACCAGGAGCTGGGCCAGCCCAAGTTCCCCGGGAGCTCAGCCTGACACCCATCACTGGGGCCAAGCCCTCAGCCACCAGCTACCTGGGGCCAGTGGCCACCAAGCGGCCCCTACAGGAGGACCGCTTCCTCCCACCAGAGGTCAAGGCCAAGACCTACATCCAGACTGAACTGCCCTTCAAGGCAAAGGCCCTCCATGAGAAGACCTCCCACTCCTGTAAGCAGTGGGTTGCAGGGTCCTGGGATGGCATCTACCAGGGCCAGCAAGGCTGGGTCGTGCCACAGACACATTGGCACCAAGTAGGGCCCCTGAGGCAAGGTCCCCGTGGGAGGCGGGATTGGCTCCTGGCTCAGGCCACCTGGGTATGCCTGCACTCATGAAGCTATGCCTCAGCAGCAACCCCCTCTGCCTGCAGCCACCGAGGCCTGCTGCGAGCTCTGTGGCCTTTACTTTGAAAACCGCAAAGCCCTGGCCAGCCATGCACGGGCTCACCTGAGGCAGTTTGGTGTGACGGAGTGGTGTGTCAACGGCTCTCCCATCGAGACACTAAGTGAGTGGATCAAGCACCGGCCCCAGAAGGTGGGCGCCTACCGCAGCTACATCCAGGGTGGCCGCCCCTTCACCAAGAAGTTCCGCAGTGCCGGCCATGGCCGTGACAGCGACAAGCGACCACCCCTGGGGCTGGCACCCGGGGGCCTATCCTTGGTTGGCCGAAGTGCTGGGGGGGAGCCGGGGCCTGAGGCTGGCCGGGCAGCTGATAGTGGTGAGCGGCCTCTGGCAGCCAGCCCACCTGGTACCGTGAAGTCAGAGGAATACCAACGGCAGAATATTAACAGTGAGTGCCTGTGGAGGAGGGTTGGGAGGGCAGCGGGTACCTTTGAAGGACCACTCAGTCACTGTGTCTTAGTTGCTTACCCTTCCATTTTAAAATGTGTCATTCTACTTGTGCCGTGATGTCCATTCACCAGCTATCCCTTCTTGAGTCCCAAAAGTCTCTGCCCCTTGCTTACTGAAAAGGCAGGGGTGTCTCTAGGGCCCTAACCATCCTATTCATCACCTATACCTCTCTCTAGAATTTGAGCGCCGACAAGCCCGTCCCCCAGATACCAATGCAGCCCGGGGGGGTGAGGAGGCCAATGACCTGCAGCAGAAGCTGGAAGAGGTGAGGCAGCCTCCACCCCGGGTCCGGCCAGTCCCTTCCCTGGTACCTCGGCCTCCCCAGACATCACTGGTCAAGTTCGTTGGCAACATCTATACTCTCAAGTGCAGGTATGCTGCCCCTTTGGGAAAGGGAGAACATCTAGCTGGGCTTTGGCTATCAGGAACTTGGGAACATGGCAGGGTCTGGGTCCTCATGGGCTGTCCTTAGGCATGGCAGGACCCATCCTATGGGCTTCTCACTGACAGAGGCACTTCAGAGTACCAGGCTAAAACCCTAAGCTGTGTTGCCAGCCAGATCTGGGTTCAGTCCCAGCTCCCAACACTTTACAGCTTAGTGACCTTAGGCAAGAGCTTACCTGCTCTCTGCCTCAGTTTTCCCATCCTTAAAATGGAGTTCACAACAGACCTACCTGTTAAGAGTTGTTGTGATGGCCAAGTGTAAAAGTAAAGCACTGAGAACCTTAACTGATAACTAGGGTAAGGACCCAACAAGTATTTTCTTGTTATTAAAAAATAGATCTCAGTTAATTCCACATGTATATCAGACACCAGGAAGCTTCACTATTGAGACCTAAGGTGACTCAATCCAGGCTATAATATAGGCCAAATCAAAAGTAGGATTCAAGATGGGTACAGTGTCTGAGGCCTGACATCCTAGCATTTGGGAATCTGAGGAAGGGGGATTGCCATAAATCTGAATCATATAGGCTACATAATAACTTCCATGCCGGCATGAGTTCCTGAGTAAGACCCTGTCTTCTAAACACCAAAGAGAGAAGAAAAAAATAGAATTCAACCCAAGTCTCTGGAGCTACACTTCAGCTCTGGACCTATACTTCATACTACCACAAGGGAGAAAGGAAAGGATGGTTCTTGTGAAAGTTAGGGAGGCTTTGCTTCTCTGTACCCACTATCATCTTAGGCAGTATGCATCAGGGAGTTGTGTGCCTCCCCTGCTTCCCCACCTTTAGCACCAGAAACTTTTGCTCATATCCAGGGGCCCCTTCTTTGACCTTATGGTAGAGGTGGCTGCCCATGGGAAGACACCTCTTCACACAAATCCTGAGCTTGCCATATCTACACTTAGTAGTGGTAGGTATGCCTAAGGCTCAGGCTGTGCTGCTTCTGCCTTTCCTTGAAGTGTTGGCCACACCCTCTTTTTCCCCCCCGCCCCATGCAGGTTCTGTGAAGTGGAATTCCAAGGCCCACTTTCCATCCAGGAAGAATGGGTGCGGCATTTACAGCGGCACATCCTGGAGATGAATTTCTCCAAAGCAGACCCTCCGCCTGAGGAGCCCCAGGTCCCTCAGGCACAGACAGCAGCTGTAGAGGCACCCTAACACAAAGCATTCCAGATTCCTCCTCATGCCACCTGTCTCCTCCCGTTTCTCCTCTGTGTCCTCTCTCCCTCTTTCCTTTTTCTTTTCCATTTCCAAAGGAGCAAGCCAAAACCTCAAACCGGCGCCCCTTGGGGGCTGGGCACACTACAACCAGGGCGCCAGGAGCCAGCTATCCACCCTTCCCCCAGCCCAAGGACACTGGGACCACAGGGTGTCTCCCTTCAGCCCACCTGGTTGGTTCAGCAGGGGCAGTAGCTAGGCCCCTGGTGGTGGTCAATCTGGTCATTGGGAAGGAGGACAGCACTCCCCTCTGTCTAGCAACCAAACAGGGCTATGCCTGCCAATTGTGGCTATTTTTAAAGACCCCTGTCCAGGTTCCCTCTTGCCCCCATGAATATCTTCTCACACACAGGCAAATACACACATGCACACCTCGTGCGATCTGGGATCTGCCCTAGCCCCCCCAGTTCCCAAGTCGAACGACCACATCACGCCACGGTGCTTGCTCAGGGGAAGCCATGCTCCCTCTGCTGACCCACTAGGGCCTGGGAGCCCCCATTGAGTCCACTATGCCACGAAAATTGTTGCTGGCTGCCCCCCCAAAGGGGCGTTCCTAGCTTGGAAGAGCTCATAGCTCACAGCTGACAGCTGCCTCCTGCCATGTCAAAGCCCCTCATAGCCTCAGGGGCTTCCAGGGCTGGGAGGGTAGAGTGAGGGGTGGGACTCTCCTCCCCCTCCTCCCCCTTTTCACTGTTGCTTTCTATGTATAGCTCCCTAGATCTCTCACTTTTTTAAAAATGCATTTTGTGTAGAGAATAAGAAATGTGGATCTTTTTATTTTGCAATCCTGGGCCAGCTAGATACCGGGAGCTGATTGACCTTTTAACTTTTTTCAGTGGCCACCTTTTGGTTATCAATGTATCTAGAAGTATGTAAATCAGATTAAATTTCTCTTCTGGAACACCCTGGGGCAGGCAGCCAGCGTGTGTTTTTCTGTTGAGTGGACAGGCTGGTGGCATTGGCTGACAGCTGGGACTAGGTTCAGGGTTGCTGCTACTCAGAGCCCTGCTGGAGGCCCTAGGTTTCCCCCATTTGCTGCCAAGCTGACCAGATGCAGCTGGGGTCAAGTCCAACCTCTCGACTGTTAGTCCTTGATGCTGAGCCTTGTCAGGGGCTCTGGATGCCTAGGGAGTTGGCTCTTCTGAGCAGAGGAGCCAGGTCTCTGACTGATCTGGGAAGGGAGCCAAGAAAAGGCACTGATGCCAGGGAAGGAGCATTAACAATCCTGCAGGATTGGTTCTACCTAGGTGCTTAAGCAGAGTAGGAATTGTTCCTTGAGGGTGTTGGGGGGGCCCTCATCTAAGAGCATTTTGAGGAGCCAATGAGGTTACAGAGAGTGGGGACTCACCTGTCTTTAAGATAATGACTTTTAGCCAGGCATGGTGGTACGCACCTTTAATCCAGCAGAGCAGAGGCAGGTGGATTGCTATGAGATCGAGGCCAGCCTGGTCTACATAGAGAATTCTAGACCAGCTGTGGTTACCAGGAGACCATATCTCAAAAAGACCCCCCCCCCCCCCCAATAAGGAAATAATTTTTGTCTTTTAAAATACAGTGCTGGGGATTTTTTTCAAGGCCTTATAACTCCCCCCCCCCCCCCGCAATAAGGTAATGACTTTTGTCTTTTAAAATGCAGTGCTGGGGATTTTATTCAAGGCCTTATATACCAGGCAGGCAGGTGCTTTACCAATGAGCTATCTCTCCAGCCCCAAAATAAGTGGTGGAAAGACTCATGAACTCAAATAATAGAAGAGAGGAAAAAGAACTACAGATTTTTTTCCCATGATACTATTTTCTTGCTTAGCAAGTATTGAATATTTCTTAGGTGGTTAAGATTTTGTTGGCTGCTCCTACCTGTTTATTCCATGTATTTTTTTACAGTTCAGCATTTTCACTAATCAGCCAAGTGCTGGAAAGTGGGAATGATCTCATGGGGTGTGGACAACAGGGCTCTACCCCCACCCATCCTGTACACTGGGTGTGTGTATCCAAGACAAGGGAGGGCATTTCTCAGGATAAGAACTTGCCCAAACATTCTTCCTCAGTGTTTTTTATAATGTAAAATCCATTTTAGAATATTGAAACTATACAGTGGATTTAGAAAGTTCAGATGATACAAGAAATAACATAGTAAGCCCTTCCCCACCAACCACTACACACCAATGGCTGGGACATGTACCATTCTTACAACATACACCTTTTTCTAAATTTCCTGAGCATGGCTCAAAAGAAATAGCCTAAGCTTTTGAGCCCCTTGAACTATGAAAACAGCAGCAGTTAAAACATTGGTGAAGTGGCTATGGCAAGTGCCACAAAGAAAACTAGGATTTAGAAAGGTGTCACGGGGCCCTACATTAGTTTGGAAGCCAGATTGTGGGGCACCCCAAGGTGCTAATACATGTGTGAGTTCAGCTGTTTGCAGTGCACCAGAGATGGAATTTTTCCACAGGACAGCAAGGTCTGCAAAGGCCCTGTTTGGGGAAGTCATGTCACCAGAATGTTTCATTCTGGACAATTCTAACCAAATAAAATAGCGCAAATGGTCAAAATGAGCCCTCATTAATCACAACTCAACCTAATCTGTAATTCACTTCCCCTTTAGCTAAATTTCGTTGAGGTACATCCTGGCCCAATTCATCAGTATTTCAGTATGTTTCTTTGAAGGATCTAAACCTCTTTTTTAAATTATATTTTTATTGAATTTTGTGCATTTCATACAATATATCTTACTATATTTAGACCCCCTCCCCCAATTTATACCCTGCCCAGAGCCTGCCCACTGGATTTCATGCATTCTGTCATACATATTAAGCCACTCAGTCTGAGTTCATCCATTGGAACCTGTTTAGCCTATCTAGTGTCACTCCCTAAAGAAAATTAACTTGGGGCTGGAGAGATGATCAGTTATTAAGAGCATTGGCTGCTCTTGCAGAGGAGCCAGGTTCAAATCCCAGCACCCACATGGCAGCTAACAACTGTCCATAACTTCAGCTCCAGGGGAATCCGATGCCCTCTTCTCACCTCACATTCCACTACATGGGTGCACTTACATACATGCAAGCAATACACTCATAACACATAAAAATTATATATATATATATATATTTTAAAAGCTTCCTTACTCTGTAGTGGTCGACTGCCAATAGTTCCTCTGGTAAGGTTGGGTTCTCCTGTCCATTTCTCCAGTTCTATGCTGGGTTTTTGTCTGAGTTGCATGCTATCACCATTACTATGTAAGTTTATATTAGCAAGTTCCCAGATGCCTGGAAGACTGTTTTCCTTTTGGTCATGCACCACCCCTGGCTCTTAACAATCTTTCTGTCCCTTCTTCGGAAATGGTCCCTGAGCCCTTGGGTGAGTGAGGTTTAATGTGGGAGTCCTATCCAGGGATACACACTCTACAGTCTCTTAATCTCTGCACTTTGGCCAGTTGTAGCCCTCTGTTGCATGAGGAAGAGTTCTCTGGTGAGAGTTGAGCGATGCATTAGTATTCTCTCTACCTCCTGTTTCACTGTGTTCTGGGAGCCTTATGTGTAGAGGTTCCATTGGTGTCATTTAGGACTGGGCATCTCAACAATACTTGTTTTCTGTCTGACCAGTTGTGGAACTCTGTAACAGTCTCCAAAAAAAAAAAAAAAAACTCTTTTAGCTGGGCGTGATGGCACATGCCTTTAATCCCAGCACTCGGAAGGCAGAGGCAGGTCGATTTCTGTGAGTTTGAGGCTAGCCTGGTCTACTTATCGAGTTCCAGACAGCTGGGGCTACAGGAAGACCCTGTCTCAAAAAGACCAAAAAGAAGAAGAAGAAGAAAAAAAGAGCCTTATTTGATGAGTGGTGACTGGTGACATACTTGTCTGTAAATATAAGGATCCATATTTAGTATACAGTAAAAAAGGATCTATGACCTCTCCAGCCTTGTATATTTGGCTATGTTTACAGTGTGATGCATGAGTTCCCCTCCCATTGAGCAGGCTTTTAGACCAATTACAGTTTGTTGATTACCCACCAAGTGCCACTACCAGGATCTAGAGTTCTTAATAATGCCATTATTTGGGGGTAATAACCCCAGAGACTGATAACCATTCCCTAACATCAACATGGCACTATACTTTTAAACTTGCCAAAACTACAAAAAGTACATGAATCACAATTGCACGGCTTGATGAGGTTTTAAAAACAAGTTTTATTTATAGTATCTCTTCTAAAAAAAGATGAGATTGTCTCTCATGGTGGGTTTCACAGAAGCCAGGGATGGCTTAGGACAAGGCTGGCACTGAGCATTGTGCTCAAGTTCTTATGTGTGAAGCATTTGTAATCATACACGATACAATTAGCTTTTTTTGCACGTCTGACAACCATGTATACAACAAGCTTATTTTAAACTAGTTTTTTTAAAAAAATTGAGACAGGTTCTCACTGCCTCCTAATGGTGGGATTAAAGGTGTGTGCCACTAAGCCTGGCTATTTTCAGATAAGATCTACTGTAGTGAAGGCTGGCCTCAAACATTTCTCCTCCCTCAGTCTCCCAAATGCTGAGGTTACAGGTGTCAGCTACCATGGCCAGCTTTTATCTATTAAAAAAAAATTGTTTTGTGATGTTGGGGATCTCAAAGTGTTCTACCATTGGGCTACATCTTCAGCCCTTTACAAGTCTTATTACTATGAAATGATTAATAAGCAGATGTATTTAGTGCAACTGGCCCCAGACTGACTTTTTTTTCCTTGCAACCAAGGTCTCAAGGTAGCTTGGAGTTTAGCACAATCTGACCCCAAACTTGAGAAATTCTTATGCCTCAGCCGCCTATGTTCCCGCATTACAAAGGCGTCAGCCACCACACACGACCAAATTCATTTTTAAACAAATTCATTTTTTAACGTATTATCTCACGTAATGTCCAGCACCTTGTTTGGCATTTAAATCTTAATCATGGTTTTTACAATTCTCGTTTTGAAGCCACAGGCCCAGGAAATACAGAAACTTAGATTTGATTAGCATTTCTAGCGGAGCGGAGTTGCGTCTCAAATTACTGAGCTCTCTCCGGCCACAGCACGTTAAGGCCTAGGGTCTTTAAGTCCACCCCTTCGAACACTACCTCTCTGTCTTGGCCAATCAACGTAGGGTTGCGTTCAGTAGGCGGGGACAAGGCGGGTCCATCCGCTGGTTGGCAGCATCTTCAACCAGTGGTACGGAGAAGTGTCGAGATAGACAGCGAGTTAGCCCAATGGATGTGAAGGATGAGTTAGGCGCTAGCCAATAAGGAAGGGAGGCGGGGCTGGATGCGTGTGGAAGGGACCCCAGGGATTGTTGTGGTTATCGCGGCGTCAGACGCACGGAGCGGCTTGTCCGTGCCCCTGGGTCGAGTGTTCACCGCCGCCATGAGCTACACAGGTAGGCCCGGCAGGGTTAGGGGCACGCTTCTGGTCAGGGATGAGCCAGAGTCACATCCGGCTCGCCCACGCCTCCCATGGCGTCGCGGTCACTGCCCTCTGCGGTCACAAAATGGCGCCGGGGCCCTTCGTCTCAGGGTCGCGCCCCTCAGCGCCTTGGGCTCGCAGTGGTAGCTCCTGACCGCTCGAGGCCTTGCACGTGACGTCCGCTGACTGGTGCCGCGGGCGTCGGCGTTGTCCTTGCTTCCACCGCCATCCCCGCCGGCTAGTGCTCGGCGGACCTCCGAGACGTCGCTTCTCAGGCCGCGGCGTTTACGCTCAGTCACCGGTTTCTGCTGCAGTCTCCGTTGCCTCCCCCAGCGCAGTTCCAGCGCAAAATGTCTCCGAACCTCCCCCATGTCACCCCCTTCCTCAGCTGGTCAGAGCCGGGCGGGGCTTCAGGCCTCAGTGAGGATGCGTAAATATTTGTAGGGTCTGAGCTGTGCGCCTTAGAGGTTGAGCTTGAGCCTTGGCGAGAAATGGCTAATTTCTACATTAATTCACTCAATATCTGTCAAGTTAACCGAATCGGGTACTGAATAGGCCCCGGGAATGCTGACAAGAAGTTTATAGATGAGGATGGACCTCAATAGGACAATAAATGAGTGCAGGTTGTATTCCAGGGCCGTCGGCACTCTGAAGAGTGAACGTTCAGCCATTACATGGATAGCTTGGAGGCCTCTGACAAGAGGTGAGGTTTAAGAAGAGATGTAAGTGGAGTGGGGGAGAGTAAAGCTACCTGTCTAAGGCAGCTCTTGATGTAGACGGGCTAGGGCAGGAACTGCCTACCTACATCATTATATCTGTTAGGGAGGTCAGTGGTATTTGAACAAAGAGGAAGGTGGGTGAGAAGTGTGGGATATGCTTGGTTGAATATAAATATTTCTGGGTGAGTTCCCACGGCTGCCTGGGTGACCAATAAGACTTCTCAGCCAGGGTCATGGAAGACAGTGCCTCCCACTTTGCTTGAAGTATTTCAGACTTTAATATGTGGTTGCCGGGTAACCTGCATTCTGCCTGGAATGTTCAAATCTGAGAATGGAATCTGAGCCATGAAGGTCTCCATAGGCCTCTGTGTACCAGTCCTCTCAAGCCCCTAGATCAAGAGCTTTCCAGGAACTCTGGATTTTCCAACAACCATCTCCTAGGCCAGGGGCTTTCGATGAGGGTTGATTCTGCCTGCCTCCCACCCCCACAGAGGACATTTGCTTATATCTGGATGCAGGTTTAGTTGTTCCATCCTGGAGTCTGTGTATGAGGGACTGCTACTGACATCTAGTGGAAAAGGGTAGCAATATTGCTGAGCTGCTTGCAATGTACAGCCTCTCCTCCACCACAAAGAACTTTCTGATGCCAAATATCAGTATTTCTGAGGGTAGGCAGCTGTGTTGGAGCCTTTTGCACCATCATTAGTTCAAGAGGGAAATCAGTAAGTTTACTCTTTCTGATGTCTCTAGAACTAAGATGCCATTCTTTTCACCAGGGCTTACCAAGAACTGAAGATAGTTCTTTGGTATATAGGAATGGGGTTACTGACGAACCAGAAGATGAGTGATTGGATGCTATGGGATAGCTTAATAATGGAGCATTTATTAGGAAACTGAGTCAGATCACAATGGCCAAGCTTGAATTTCAGCTCCAGGATTGACAGGCCCTGGATTTAATAGGCACTAGAGTAGCCAAGCTAGTGAGAAAATATTTAGTTTTCCCTTGATCTTGTTAAACTAAAATACAAAAAACACACTAACTTTATAATATGGGTCTCTCCCTTTTAAGAAGCAGACCGGGAAGCTGGGCCTTGTGGTACATTCCTGTAATCCCAGAATTTGGGAGCTAGACAAGAGGAATGTAAGTTCAAGCCCAGCTTGGGCTACATAGACTCATTTCAAAAAACAAAAAAAGTGCCTAAATTCAAAGGCATTTTAAACTGCCTTTGTTTGGTTAGTTTTTTGAGACAGGGTCTCACTATGTTGTCCCAACTGATCTGGATATGTAGACCCTCCCAGGCTGGTTTTGATTTCACAGTCATCTATCTGCCTCTGCCTCTGGAATTAAAGGTGTGTTATCACCACACCTGGCACTTTAAATTTTATTTTTATTTTATGTGTATGAATGTTTTGCTTGCATGTATGTAAGTGCACCATGTGCATGCAATGCCTGCTGAGGCCATAAGAGGGCATCTGATTCCACCCCCCCCCCAACTGAAGTTAGCTACCACTTGGGTTCTGGGCATCAAAGAATCAAGTTGTCCTAGTGTTCTTTAACTGCTGTGCCATCTAATCCTGTTTGTTTTGAGATAGTCTCACGCTGTAACTCAGGCTGGCCTTCATCTCACAGTGTAGTACAGGATGGCCTTGAACTTGGCAGTCATCCTGCCTCAGTGCTGGATTAAGTCACTTTCATGTACTTCTTTGAGGTTAAGTCCTAGAAGCTTTGAAGCAAATTTCACTGTTGTTGTTACTATTTTTTTGAGACAGGGTCTCCTAGCCACAGCTGGCCTGGAACTCACTATGTAGAGGTTAACCTCAGTCTCACAGATATCCACTTTCTTCTGCCTCCCGAGTGTTGGGACTAAAATCATGCACCACCATGCCTGGCTATTATTATTATGTTATTATTTATGTGTGCCTGTGTGTGAGTATGTGCACGTGTGTGCAGATGGTTGCAAAGTCCAGAAGAGAGCCTCCAGAGCTGGAGTTGCAGGGGTTTGTGAGCCGCCTGCCATGTGGGTGCTGGGAACTAAACTCATCAGCAAGTGCTCTCAACTGCTGAGTCATCTTTCCAATCCCATTTTTTTTGTCAATATATCCAGCTCCTTTGGAACTCATCTCTAGTATGGATTGGGAGGGTAGGAACAGGAGAAAAACAGCAAGAAAAAATCTAAAATTAGGCCTTCAAACAAAAGTCTGACTGGTAGTCTTTTTATAGAAACATTTATTAATCAAAATGTACAGAGTTACATTTTTTTCTGAATGAACAGGGACTTTGAATTGGGTGGTTCAAACAGATTACATTTAAGATGTCAGTTGAAAGACTAGGAATCTGAAAGCTTGGTTGGTGCTGAAGTCCCTGCCTCCAGCATGACTCAAACTCCTGTGTCTGGTAGATCAATTCAGGCTTCAGTTCCTTGCCATGTGTATCTCTGTAGAACTAACTGCTGGAAGAACCCTAACAACATGGTGACTAGTTCTTCCAGATTAGAATGATCCCAGTAAAAAATGCAAAAGTCTCAGAAATCACAGTAACATTTCTGTATGTTTCATTGGTCACACTAGCTACCTTTGTTACTCTAAGAGGAAACTAAGAATCATTGCAGGCAATCTCAGAGGCTGGTTTTTGAGGTGTTGAGGATGGAGCCCAGTCTCCTGTATCCCCCTGAATTGCATCCTCCCCAACCCCTCCTCCCCTTTTGTGGTACTAGCACTGAATCTAGGGCTTTGTGCATGCTAGTGCTTTACCACCAAGCTATATCCTAGCTTACATTAAACATTTCCTTTTGATGCAGGGTTTCATCAAGATGCCCAGGATGGCTATGAACTTACTCTCTAACCCAAGCTAGTCTTGAATCTACAATCCTTCTACCTCAGCCTTTCTAGTATCTGGGATTAATAGGCTTGCCCTGTCTGTCTGGGCCCATCTTTTTTTTTTCCTCCTTTTTTTTTTTTCTTTTTTTCAGGGAGAAACTAAGGCCCTCGTCTGAATAAACATAGATCTTTTGCCCTGTAGTTTTCTTACTGAACCTAGGTGTGTGTTCCTGTCAATGTATTTTTTCATTACAGTTGCTCAGCCCTCTACATCTGTGGGTTCTGTACTTGTGGGTTCAGCTAATAGAGGATTGAAAATATTTTGAGAAAAAAACCATGACTGACTAGCTCATGTTAAGTCTTACAAGTAATCTAAAGAGATTTAAAATATAAAGTGGGATATGTATAATTTATATGCAAATGTAGGGAATTTTGTAAAAGAGACTTCAGTACCTGTGAATTTTTCTATATCTGAGTGGGAGGGCCTGTTCTGAAACAAGTTCCCAGCACCTACTAAGTGACCCAGGTGTTTTTTTGTTTGGAAGACAAAATAGCTCTGGCTGGGCTGGAACTTAATATTGTAGACCAGACTGACCTCAAACTCAAGACACATTCACTTGCCTCTGCCTGCTGAGTGCTGGCATTAAAGGCATGGACTACCATGCCTAACTCCTAAGTGATAACTGTACTTAAAAAGTACAATATGTGCCAGACCTGGTAGTACAGCTTAATATAACCAGCATTTGAAGGCTGAGTTAGGAAGATCCCCAGTTCAGGACCTGCCAGGACTATTAGAGTGAATTCAAGACCAGCCTGGGCAACTTAAATGAGACTACTCTGTCTCAGTATACAAAGTAAATAAAAGAGGGCAGGGAATAAACTCACTGATGGGATTAAACTCTTAACATGTGCCAGGTTCAGTCCCCGATATCACAGAAACAACCTACCACATTTTATGGTGCATACCTGTAATCCCAGCACTGGGAGATGTAGGCAGGAGATTAAGAGTTCAAGGTTGTGTATCTAGACCCTATCTGAACAAACTAACCCAGGCTGGAGATGTGGCTCAGTGGTACTTGCTTAGTATGTACAAGGCCCTGGGTTAGATTCTTACCACTGCAAAAACAGACCTAAAAGAAACACATTACATAGCTGGGCATGGTAACACATGCTGGTAGTTCAGCTATTCCACCCTGAGCAATGCAGTAAGATTCCGTCTCGGGGAACATTTGGGTTGGATACCTTATTCTGAGTCTTACAGTGTTGGTGAACTCCCCAAAGAATGCTTTTGATGTTTTTTATATATATGTGCAGGTGCATGCCAATCCATGTATACCTGTGTTTGGAGACCAGAGGTGTCATTTTTTTTGGTGCCATCTAGTTTTTTGGAGACAGTGTTTCTCACTGTTTGGAGTTGCATGGTTACAGTAAGCTGGCTGGTATTGACCAGGATTCACCTGTCTCATTCTCCCTAGTGCTGGGAGTACCCCATCATCCCTGGGTTTTTTATATTGGTTCTGGGATAGAACTCAGGTCCTTGTGCTTGTGTGGCAAGCACTCTACTGACTGAACTATTTCCCCAGCCCCTTTCAGTGTTTCTTTCCCTTTTAATTAAAACCGTGGTGCGTGTGTGTGTGTGTGTGTGTGTGTGTGTGTGTGTGTATGTGTATGCATCTGCATGTATGTGTCTGTATGACTATACATGCACATGTGTGTTCAGGGTGCCCACAGAGGCCAGAAGAGGGCATAGAATTCCTTCGAGTTGAAGTTAACAGGTTGTTGGGAGCTGCTTGATGTAGGTGCTGGACTGAAATTCAGCCCTTATGATTGTGCAGCAAGTGCTCAAAGTTGCTGAGCCATCTCTCCAGCCCCTAGTTTCTTATAGACACTGGAAGGCCCTGGACCCCTGGGGCTAAAATGTTTTTGAACGCATTCTCTTTAGGGAAGATAGCAAATCCTGGGTTTATGTACTTTGTATTTTCTCCTTCCCCAGGGCCTAAGCTCCATTCTCTCCTTTGGGAAGTAAAGCTGAGGTTGAATCTACAGCTTTCTTATTTGGTACCCTTGGAGCTGGATGTGTTTGGTATTCTTGAGAGAAGTGTGTTCCTTAGCATCCCATGGGGTCAAGACGGCAACCTGGAATTAAATATATAAGGGACTAAGGGTGTAGCTTAGTGGCACAGATGGGCCTAGCATGCCAGAGGCCTTGGGAATCATCTCAATAACCACAAAACAAAATCACATTAATTTTGTGCCATATTCATAAAATTCATTTTTCTGGGTTCCTTTGGCTTCAGTGTAAATTTGAGCATCACCTGTGCAGATTGCTTACTCTATTTCAGAACTTAGGGAAGGAAGCCTGGAGCACTCTAGACAGGTACTTTCTCCTGCCTCATTCCAGTTCTAAGAGTCTTTGATTTGCTGAACTTTGAACTTTGGGAGTTACAGGGGATGGAATTTTGCCTCTTCCCCCTTACTGGGTTTGCTGGGATGTGCAACTAAAGTGTTGTTTAGCGTTGATACATAGTCTTTTTTTTTTGTTTTAAGACAAGGCCTTTCTATACAGACCAGGCATGCCAAGAACTCACAATCCTCCTGTTCTGCTTCCCCAAAGTATTGGGTTACAGGTGTGTATCATCACATCTGACTTGATAGTGTCTTCTACTGCTGCAGTAGTCGGGGGGGGGCTTTATGAATGTTTAGGACCAGAAGTACTCTCAGGTTTTGGGATATTTGGACATAACTGATGGGAAGTCTTGGATAGGATCCAAAATTAAACATTACGTTCAGTTGTGTTTCATTTGCACTCTGTAGGCTGAAGATATATATAT